ACACACAGGTATGAGGCCACCATTCTTTCAGCTTTTGTGTCAGATAATGCTAACAAAATCTGAAAACAATCAGCAAGCACAAAATCTGAGGCTGTCAGGGATACAACTATAGCTTGTTAAACAATTCAGAGCTAGAAGGGTCCTTGCAATTATTTTAAGAAACTGGCATGTGATAATTTTTATTAAACAATAGCAGTTTTCTAGAATTCAACATCAAATTTTCAGCAAAATATCACATTTATATTTATATAAAACTATTGACTTTTAGAAAGCAAATACTCTTTAAATGTTGCCTTTACACTGTATTATACATGAAGTAACTCACAAATCACCTATTGATTTATAAATATTTTCTGAAAAATCTGACACCTGCCTGAATGAAAATCATACTGGAAATACATACTGGAATACTCTGTAAATCCTATATACTCTTTTTATGTGTAACTACACGATATTTCCTCAAAATGTTACTGAAAAAAAAAATACTGACTTGCTATCAAGAATGTCTAAGGCGTCTATACATATCCTTTTTTTCAAATTTCTCAAAAAAAAAAAACCTTAAGGAATGTAAAGGATTATTTTATGATTAATGACATAGCCAAAATGAATTTTGTACACTGACAAAAGTACACACTACAATGTGCTACTATAGTCTCAAAAACCAAGTCAGGGCAAGAGAAGCTTTTCAAAAAAACAACACCTTTGGCTTTTCGTTTTGTCTCATGAAGCATAGGAACACTATTTCTTCATGGAGAAAACTGAAAATCATATAGGGGGAATTTCTCTTGAAGTACGTATCAAAATTAATCCCCACCCCCTCGTACAAAACACACTTCACAACTGGGAAGAACAAAGCAGCGTGCCCAAGTCCCTGTCTCTGAGCAGACGCCCCACAGACAGGGGACGACAAGGATGGGAGCGCAGCAGGCGAAGGTCACCCGTACAGCAGAAACCACCTCCTGACACAGAACTATCATGGAGTAAGTGGGAAGGTCCTGGGAGTCAGGAGTTCCAATTTATTTATCTTAGGAGAAGAAGATCAAAGGTTTGAACTATGTACAGCACCCTTAGGATAAATTATGCAGGAAAGTCACAAAAAATAAAAACACAAAACCCCAGAACAACTCAAATGAATGTTGAGAAAAAAAGAAGGGAGATGCTTTACTTGCCCAAAGAACTGGCTATATTTGGAACGAATTATGGGGGAGTCCAAGCATGAATTCTAATTCTCTTGACAACGGCGGAGAGTATGGTGGTAAGCAATTAAGAGGATACAGAAGTTCCTTCTGAGCAACAGCTAGACTGTGGGCCAGGGTACGTACCAGAGAAAAGCAGAAAGGGAGACAAAGGGAGAAAGAATCTTCTCAGATCAGAGCAAATCTCAATGACTGCCCTCAAAAACTGCCCCCCCCCACGAAATCGAGATTTAATTACATCTGACTACAGAGAAACAAACATCCAAGTGCTGCTGAAAACAAACCACCAGCAGAGCACAGAAGGCTGCACGTGAAGCCAACGTTTGGGAAGATTGAGGGAAGAGACAGAATCTACTGAAGCCAGCATCATGGTGGAGGCTACACACATTCTCCAAGGCTGGGCCTCTAAAGAGATGGCACAGAGGCTTCTCAACTACTAGGGCATACTCGCCTTTCTCTGCTCCACTGATTTTTTTTTTAAAGATTTATTTATTTATTATGTATACAATATTCTGCCTCCATATATGCCTACCCGCCAGAGGAGGGCGCCAGATCTCATTACAGGTGGCTGTGAGCCACCATGCGGTTGCTGGGAATTGAACTCAGGACCTCTGGAAGAGCAGCCAGTGCCCTTAACCACTGAGCCATCTCTCCAGCCCTGCTCCACTGATTTTAAAAAGCAACTGTAAAGCCAGGCGGTGGTGGCACACGCCTTTAATCCCAGCACTCGGGAGGCAGAGGCAGGCAGATCTCTGGGAATTTGAGGCCAGCCTGGTCTGGTCTACAAGAGCTAGTTCCGGAACAGGCACCAAAGCTACAGAGAAACCCTGCCTCGAAAAACCAAAAAAAAAAAAAAAAAAAAGCAACTGTAAAAACAGCAAGTGCATACTTGTTTTTTTGGGGGGCGGTAACGCATAGAAAATGAATGCAGTGACAGTGAGGCTGTAATGAAGTGGACAGGGAAAACTGTACTAGAGTCAGGAGGTGATACCAGTCTAAGTGATCATAAATCAGCAGGAACAAACAAAAGCCAGAAGAAGCAAGTACGTTTAATAAGACAAATTATAAATAGCTATTTTTTTAAACATTTGTTTTTATGTCTACAGGTGTTTTGCCTGCATGCGTGTCTGTGTACCAGATGCATGCAGAGCCTACAGAGAGTAGAAGAGGGCATCAAATTCCTCTACTAGAGGTAAAGATGTTTGTGAACTGCCATGCAGGTGCTGGGAATCAAACCTAGGTCCTATGGAAAAGAAGCCAGGGCTTTTAATGGCTGAGCCATTTCTCAAGCCCCAATATTTATTTACTCTTATCCTTTCTCTCAGCTTATAAAAGACATAAACATTTTTAAAGGTTTATTATTCTTATTTGTAATTATCTGCATGAAAGTTTGCTGCATGTGCTTGTCTAAGGAGGTCAGAAGAGAATATTGGATCCTCTAGCTACAGCTCCATCTGAACTACCTTATATGGGTGCTAGGAACTGAACTCAGGTCCTCTGGAAGACCACTTACTCCTAACCACTGAGCTATCCCTTCAGCCCCAAGACACAAAATCATATAAAATATGACTGATTTATAACATACATAAAATATGTTTTAACAGTAACGTAACTGCACAAAAAAGGAATAGACAAGAGAAACTAGAGATACACAGAGGTAATACTTTTTGGTATCTACAAGGAACGAAGATAGTATAAATCTGAAATAGACCCTGTAAAGTAAAATCCACAGAATAAGTTCTAGATTAGGCACTTTCAAGATATTTTTATGACTCAGAAATTTAAGTTGAAAATCTTAAAAAGATTAAATGTTATACAAGAAAATAATCATGCATTACAAAAGAAAACAGTAATGAATTAGAGGAACAAAATGACGGAGATGGAAAAAGATGAAAAATGCAGGTCAACTCTATCAAGCCTTCTGGGCTTTGTTTTCTGTTGCCTACCAAGCTGATTTTTCTAAGTAGCTAAATTACTCCATACATATTTTTAATTCTTCCTAGATTGTCTTAGCTCATTATCAAACTTTTTAGTAAGTCAAGACACATACATAGTAAAGCACTGACAGACAAAATGGCACAATGGCTGAGATCTGGAGCAAAATAATCCAAAACAAAACAAACAGCAAAGGCATGAAAGGGAGACAAAAATAAAGATGGCAGCACGCTGAGAACCGCTGAAATGGAGAATGGCATTAGGGTGTTTAGTGCTTCCAAAATAACTTTTAAAAGAAGTCTGGCTCCTAACTAAATCTACACAGCTCATTCGTTCTCTGTCACCTGACACACAGCCAATGCTCTGACCATACTAAGCTAAGTAGTGGGTCCTCAGGCACACTGGTAGCTCAGCCTGCACACCATTGATCATGCTCGAACTGTTGCCAAGAACACCCTTCTCTCTCTCAGTCCAGATACACTCCTACTCATCTGCCGAAGCTTGGTTCAATGTCACTTCTGCACCTGTTTGTGCCTTTATTCCAACACGTCACTGTTCCACTGTGACAACTGTAGATTCTCTCTCATTTAATACCCACAGCCTGAGAAATGGAGCCTCTCTCCACAAGTGCTTGTTAGATGATGCTATCTGCAATAATCTCGAAGGGATAAGCAGTAAATGCCTGCTGACTTAGACTAGAGAACAAACCCCTAATAACTCTGTTTTCAGGTTTCTAGTGAGAAAACTGTGTAAGAAAACTTCTTGAATTTACAATTTTTCTTATAAAGGATTTAAAATGCAAGGTCTGAATCCTTTCCACAAAAGCTCAGTAAAAGACACTTAAGAGTTATCAGCTCTACTTGGCAGCTAAAATACATTGTATTTCTTTACAATCTGTCAATACAAGGAAAATAGTTAAGAGACAGTACCTCAGACTTTCCACATTCAACAGGTGTCTCCTTGTGAATGGCCACTTGGTACTTGATATATAAAGAATGGGACTGGTTGAAGGATGACTTGAACTCTGGATCCTCAAAGGAGGCGGGTACTAGCCTCACCTTCAGAGCAAGGGAAATAGAAGCCAATGCTATTGAACCAACGCTACCTGTCGACACGCTTCTGAAGATGAGGCTAGAGGAAGATCTCCACAAACCACCTCCAAAGTTCAGCCCAGGATTTGCCATGAAATAGCAGGAATGGAGCTAAGTGGAACTAGGCCTGAGTTCCAACTTTCGACCAACATTCATGGAAAACCTTAAACTCCTAAGAGCCAATTTGTTTCTGCTTTGGTTTTCCTCTACCAATCAGCTGTGCTGTCACATACATTAGTCGCTACTGTTACCAACTGGTCTTAGCCAGTACTTCTGCCACCTCTTCTGAATGAAGTGCTTTAGGCTTTTTTCATCCCCAAAACTTTTTTTAATCATCTGTTATATAAAATTAAAAGTGGACAAGGATTCTACTAAAGATCTCTACCGTCTTCCTTTTCCTACACATCTTTTATGTAAGGTATTCCATTAATAAAGAATAACTGAGCTGCTATGAACTCTTTCTAGAACTTTCTAACATGGATGAAGCATAATAACACACCAGGCCAAGTACACCTTCTTCTCCTACGTCTTGAACTTGAAACTCCACCACTATTTACAGATAAATGTGTTCATACACAGCAGCTTTGAATAAAAGCAACCTCACATGTGACTTTCCACTTTGAAATTATGTATAACTGGTACTTAACATGACAACAGCGAATTCACATTTACAGAATGTCCACTCACTCAGTCTTATCTTTGTGCAGATGAGCTACAAACTGGATAAAAACAGAAATAAAGTATAATTAAACCAAGACCTCACACTTGGCCCGCTGACCTGGCTCACAGTTGGTTTATCAGGTGGGTCCTTGTGAATAACCATCTGGTAACGCTTATAGACCTGGTAAGACTCCTGAAATGTGGCTGTGAACTGAGGACTTGGTGGAGAAGATCTCACCACCCTCACCTTCAGAAGGGGTTGAAAAACAATGTTTATTAATTCATTCATTGATTCACTTCTGCAGAATATGCAGTAACAGAAACTCCCAATCAGAAAACTATGTTTCAACAAATATTAAAGCATAAACATATATTTTAACATTAAAAATCAACTGTTAGTAAATGAAGAAAAAGTTATTGCTACAATATCCAGTCTACTTAAAGGAAGCAACAGGGGATATCCTGTATATTTAAGTCTCATCTCTGACTAATTACATATGTCTATCTCTTCTGTGAACTGACAGGTCCTTCTAGCACTGACAACACAAGCACTCTTTAATTTTAGTTGTCCACAACTTAATAAAAGTCAATCAGTCAGAATTACTAAGAACTGTAACTAGACCTTTGGGCAAGTTTATTCATCATTATAAACTATAAACCTACAACTAACCCTATAACTATGAGAGGCAACTTTCACAAAGTGTGTGTACTTCACTATACAGTTAGTATACGTAGACTCTCTTAGGTTTCCTTTACGCTGTAATGATGTCAAAAACAAAACTTTCTGGGCCTTAAATAAGTTAAAAATGGTAACTGTGCACAAGACTAGCTGACATTTATCTTATTAATTACTAACCAAAATTTGGGAAAATTTGTTACTAATAAAACAGTAACAAAAGGAAATTAAATGTACTACAATAAGGGCATAACTGGGCACTTCATGTTGGCAAAGGGAAGAGTGATACCCAGCAAATAACAAACTCCTCACACCCTGGGTACTACCATGTTAAAAATGTATATACTGATACCTGCAGAACTATTTTTGAGGTGTGGTTGGCTCCCTGAATAAACTACTTATGATCAAATGATTAAAACCTCTTCTTAAAGTATTTTAAGTAGTACAATCAATTCTCTACAATTCAGGGAGGAGGAAATTCAAAACCTATATCAAAGTAGCAAGCAGTTGTAATAATCAAAGCTGTTAAAATTTGTCTGAAATACATCTACAGTGAACGGTTTAAAATTTCTGTGTATCTGTGCGTGTGCAGTGCATGCCTATGTTTGGCAGGCCAAATGCAGCTCCATTGCTGTACATCTTAATGCCTCTCACTAAACCAGAAGCTCATCACTTTGGCTAGGTAGGTTGGCTAGCCAACAAGCTCTGGGGTTCTGCCTGCCTAAACCCCGCAAAACTGGGGTCATAGGCATACACAGCCATGCGTTTTACAAGGGTGCTAGACATTCGAACTCAGGTCTTCACTCTTCCCCACTGAGCCATCTCTCCAGCCCATCAAGATTAGCAATATCCTTAGATAACATTAAGCTAAAAATTCAATCAAGTATAAGGGTATTTTAAATTAAAATATTAATAATAATATTTTAATATCATGGTTAATGTCTTAGAAAATAATTCTATTATATATAATTAATATTAAAAGTTCCAGTTTGTTGTTGAAATATGAAACAATCTGGGAAAAATGGGAGTACAGCATAAAAAATTTTTAAAGCTAGGATTTTTGTTTGTTTGGTTTGGCTTGGTTTTTTGAGACAGGGTTTCTCTGTGTACCAGATCTAGCTGTCCTGGAACTCACTTTATAGCCAGGCTGGCTGGGATTTCTTAATGAGAAAGGATCTGGTAGTTGTGTTGGCTAGTTTTATGTCAACTTGACATAAGTTATCTGAAAGGAGGGAACCCCAATTGAGAAAAATGCTTCTAAAGATGTGGCTGTAGGGCATTTCCTAATTAGTGATTGATGAGGGAGGATACAGCCCATTGCAGGTTGTGCCTTCCCTGGAGTTCTATAAGAAAGCAGGCTGAGTAAGCCATGGGGAGCAAGCCAGTAGCCGCACCCCTCCATTACCTCCATGTCAGCACCTGCCTCCAGGTTCCTGCCCTATTTGAGCTCTTATCTTGACTTCCTTTGATTATGAACAGGGTAAGCCACACAAACCCTTTCCCCCCAGCTTGCTCTTAGGTCATGGTGTTTTGCCGCAGCAATGGAAACCCTAACTAAGACAGCAGTGTCAGTAGGTTCAGGTTTACAGGGGTGACACTGGTGCTACCTTGATCAAGACCTAGGTTGGAATATTATAATAAAATTCATTTACTTATTATGATAGAAACTTTTACCATTTTAACTTCTAAAATAAGATTAATTTTAAAACGCTTTTGTATTTTTAAACTACTTAACTGCAACCAAGTAACACAAAAGACCAGAGTACCCTGATTAATAACATGCTACAACTGAAATTTTTTAAACAATTTTAATAATAGTTGCCCAAAATATTTTCTAAAGGTCTTAAAGAATTTTTCTCAAATAGCAGTTGATTTACTGTAACACAAATGCTAAATAATAAAATCTCAACAGGTAACTATCAGTACAAAGAAAATAAATATTCAACACAACACAACAGCCACAAACCCCTCCAAGTACCTCTAACTTGTGTGACGCATTCTCTGGTAAAGATTCAAAAATTAAATCTTCAAGTGACTTGGGCTGATTGGATTTAGCCTTTGGTAACAAAGATGCTGGCTGACCTTGAGCCTGGAAACCCTCAAAGGCTCCAGCTGAGTTTTGCTGCATGAGTTTTAACCTTTTCCTTTCTTTCCGCATTTCTTTTGCTTTTCTGCACGGAGGCTTACTCAAATCAGCCCCTTTACCTAAAAAGAATGCCAAAATATTAGGGCAATACACTTGACCCTAGAAATGTTTTTTCACATCTTATAGACTACACGGTCCAGAGTTCACACTGAAGTTTCCCAGGATCATTAAAACTTTACCCTAGAGACTGGGGCAGTCAAAAAGGGCGAACAGTCTACAAACTTCTCAGTGCAGCTCTGTTAGTAAAGGCATTTGTTCATTCACTCCTCCATCTATTTTCATATTTTAAGTATCTGCCCATTTTTCTGCTGCTGCAATAGGTATCACTACGTGAAGGATCTTCTGCCTCGCAGGGACATTTCTAGGGACATTTTTTAATCTAGAACAAATTCTGGCGAGTGATGGGCATGTTGTTTCTTTTAATTAAGAAGAGTCCTTGCTCATTGTAACATATTTGTAACTCCAAATAGTGCTCACAAGTTCAGGTTAATGAATTTTGTTCTAATTAAAAGAACATGTAATTAACTGATAGCTCTTTAAAACTATCTGGGTATAGTTCACCCCTTTAAGTCCAGCACCTGGGAGGCTGACATGGTGGATATGTTAGTTCCAGGCCAGCCCCTTCTTCATGGCAGGTTCTAACCAGGACTACATGGTCAGACCATGTCTGAAAAGGGGTAGAGGAAGAACCCACTACTATCAAGGTATAATAAAAGACAGTGGAATGCTGATCCATAAAGGAGAATTCCATAGCACACCCTCTTCTCCTAAGGCCCACAAATCCTTGGGAAGAGGCTGGAAACATTAAAAAGCCAGTGGCTGTGGATGACTACAAGAAAACTGTTTTCCAGACACAGCAGGGCAGTTACACAGGGGAATGCACAGCAGATGAGACAACATGTGCAGGACCGATCCAAGCTTAGGCCACACGAGAATTTCCACATAGGGAAGGGAGGTGGACACAAAGTCTCATCCTAAGCTAAGGAGCTATTGGCAACTGATAGCTGCTGGGAGTGGGAAAGTCGCTTTTAAGGTATGTGCATCTGTTGGGTTGATCACCTCCAGTGAAAGGCACACATCCAAGAATATATAGGCAGCACAAATTGGATTGGGTGGGTTTAAAAGAGGGGAGGCACAGTTGAGTGAGTTGAGGAAGAGGAGGGGAGGAGTGAGTATGATCAAAATGCAGTGTAAAAAAATCCTCAAAGAATAAAAACAAGAAAAGAGAATAAGCTGAAACCAATTTTTAGGGTTTTGTATTTCTTTTCAGGTTTTTATGAATGACCATATATGTCATCTTCACACTAATAGATTCATAGGACTACTCTTATATACTGCCAGATCAAGTAATCCCTGCCCAACTCCCCCAAAACAACATAAGAAAACCTAATCGGTCTCTAGGCATAACTACCAACTTATACAAAATATACACTACCTGGCTTAGGACCAATATGAACTTTGATTGAATGCGATGGTTCACCAGAACCCAACTTCTCCTCTATAGCTTGTGGATGAATTAATTCCTTAGATCCTTCCTTCTTTAAACTATTTTCCTTCTTTTTCTCTTCACTCTCTATGCCTCCTTTGAGGTCACTGCTGAGTGTTTTAAGATCACACTTTATATCCAACTTGTTTACTAATGCAAAGTCACCAGCAACAGCATCCTCCGTTGTAGAATCCATGGGTTCATCTACAAAGGAGAAAAAATCAAAGTCCATCATCGGCTACAATATTTGACACATTTTAGATTAGTATAACTGTTAAGTAACTGGGTTGCTGCAGTGTGTCGTGCCTTCCAAAGCAAGGGAGCTACACCTGAGACAAACTACTCTAGCAGAAGAATGTACCTCTAGGAATTGTGCCAGCTGTGGTCAAGCTCCCAATGCTGGATATCCAACTGGGCTACCTAATTTTGTCTTTAAGAAAATTATGACCTAAAATTTCAACCCTTTCCCCTTGGCCTGGTGATTATGTCACCTCCTATGAAATCAGTTTTAGATACAAGTCAGAAGCACATAACAAGTTAAACAAAGAGCCAAATGTATAGGTCACATGAAAACATAGGCAACCATCAATTTACATATGGACTGTAATTTCTAGACACCAAAAAACTTCAAAACATTGCTTATAATAATGTACATAATATTCCACCAGAGATATACCAAAACTATTTCCAAGGCTCTAATCAGCTCTTAACCTCTAAAACCAAGCCTTCTAGCCTCTTTGTTGACCCCAGCTAAGCCAATTCTACTCTAAATTGTCTAATCAGGACAATGCATGACGCCAAAGAATTTACCTGCTAGGCCAACCATCGTCTCTCCAGTGATTAAAATCATGACCATGACACATTCAAAACCTACTTGTGGGGCTGGAGAGAAGGCTCAGAGGTGAAGAGAACTGACTGCTGTTCCAGAGGTACTGAGTTCAATTCCCAGCAACCACATGATGGCTCATACCCATCTATAATGAGATCTAGTGCCCAGAACACTATATACATAATAAATAAATTAAAAAAAAAACCCTACTTGTGGAATGAATGAATAAGCTAAGAATGAATGAATAGCTAAGATTCCCAGGATTAGAAGCTTCTCTAGTGACATTTTGTTTGGTTTCTAACAAATAAAGCTTGAAGAGTACAAACCTAAGCCACTAGTTAGCCATAAAGGCCAGGTAGTGAGGGCACACACACCTTTAATCCCAGCACTCAGGAGACAGAGGCAGGCAGACCTCTAGGAATTCAAGTCCACCCTGGGCTATACGAGGTGTAAAAGAGAAACAGCTCACACAAAGGTGATCCCAGCACTAGGGAAGTAGAGACAGGAATGATATGGCTGAGCAGAGAGAGAAATATAAGGCAGGAGGAGACAGGAGCTCAGTGCACTCTGAGGTTTTGTGGAAACAGATGCAGTCTGAAAATTCAGTCTGAGGATTCGTAGAGGCAGGATCGCCCTTCAGACTGAGCACTGGTAGAGGTAAGAATTCTCTAGTGGTTGGCTGCTCTGCTCCTCTGATCCTTCAGTTTTCACCCAATAGTTGACTCTGAATTTTTATTACTATTAAGACCAATCAGAATTCATGCTACATCTGTCACAAGGACATCACTAGAAGCAAGTCAGATGTGTTGTCAAAGCATCTGAATAACAAATATTTCAGTTTAAAAAGTCACAACATCTTTCCAATGGATCCTCAATTTTCTCGCAAAGACAGACTCTCCTAGTCTGTACTTCCTACATTTGAAGGGTCCAGTGAGACAAATGCTAGTGTCACCAGTGTCATTAGCTTTATAGGATTACGTTATACCAGTCTCCTTCCCCACCTGACCTGAGTGAGGCATGTGAAAATGGGAGCCTTGGAGAGAAACATTAGAGAAAATACTTTCCAGACCAGATCTTTTCTTACCCTCACAACTGCCTTTCGAAATTTCCCCTTTAGCCAGAAACTTCAGCATTTTTTTCAAAACTTTCTTGTGAGATTTTGATGGTTGAAACTGTAAAGGGCGACACCTAGAAAAGCAAGCAAATATTTTAAAAGCTTTTAATGAGGTCAGTTTAGGATAGTACATTGTAGACTGCAGCAAATTTCATGTCTGGGGTTTTTTTGTAAGATGTGATTTAAAGCAGCCTTTAATCCTACTCCAAAACTCTAAAATTCACTGTAAGTACAGTTATAGTTAAGAGATTTTAAGAAAAAGAAGAAAGAAGATGAGGAAGAGAAAAACACATAAACCAGAGGAAAAAGAGAAGGCAAAAATATTGGAAGGTAGGGAACAGATTTATAAATAGTTAACTGACTGAGGTAACCAAAACTGAATACTAACTCAACAATGAAAAACCCAGTAAGGTATTCAATTTCCTCTCTATCAGAATTTTAACAATTAAGAACTTCTAACAAATATAGTAAGGGATTATGATAGAGATTAGTTTAGTGGGAAAATTAATATAAGCAAAGGTAGAAAGCAGGGACTGGAGAGGATAGAAAACAGGAACAAGGAAGTATCACAGGGCTAGGACTTCTGTGTTTCACTTGAGAAGCTATATAGACTATGGGTTAGGTTAATGATTAAGGAAAACAACTGAGTCTCAAGAATTAGGCTAGCTCAAGTTCTTTTTGATGTTGGGAAATGTGTTCACAGGTTTCAGTGTACATAACAGCTGAAACAAAGCTTTAAACAATTGACTTCATGTAACTGGAAAACAAAGAATTGGATGGTTAGTTAAGATAATTGGGCAGAACTCTAAAATATAAAAAATGAAACAAGTAACCTGTTTTCCTGGCAATTATAAAACTACTGCCTATATGAACGGTTATGGCGGAAAGGTCCTGCCTGGTCTGTGAGAAGTGTAAAAGGAGTTTCTCAGAAAATGTATAAAGATATGATTAAGAAATATAGTGGGAGCCGGGTGATGGTGACACACGCCTTTAATCCCAGCACTCAGAGAGGCAGAGACAAGTCAATCTCTTCAAGTTCAAGGCCAGCCTAGTCTACAGCATGAGTTTCAGGACAGCCAGAGATACACAGAGAAACCCTGTATCAAAAAGACAAACAAACAAATGTATTAGGGTGAACTTGTTCCAGAAAAATGTTTTGGCTGTGATTATTAGTAACTGTGAAACTTGTAATTATGGGAAAAATCCTACTCTTTGAAATGGACTTGATGTGGGGAATATAAGAACACTGTGTGAAAAACAAAGAAACAAGAAGCTTTCCTCCCTCAGGAAAGCAGTCGGTGTGCTTTTCTCACCAACTCTGCATCTCACTTCCAGTCACTGTGACCTGAAGGCCACTCTATAAAACCCACAACTGGACAATGTGCAGAGACTGAGGGATTTGGGGACACTTAGTCCTAAATAGGAAGTCTTTATTAAACCCCTCCCCTGAGGGCTCAGGAACTATGCCAAAAAGGAGGCAGAAAGAATCTTAAGAGTCAAAGGGGAAGTATGATTTCAAGGAAACAGTGTCTTCTAAATATAACAGAACTAATACACATATGAATTCACAGACTGTGGCAGCACCCGCCAGGCCTGCACAGGTTCAGGCCACACAAAGTCTGTGGGGGTATTGCTGTGACAGGCCTGACCATGTAATTTTGGAACTGTGGTCAAGGAAAGTCACTGAGTGTTCAATGCTTGGTGAGCTGCTCTGTAGGAGCCTGGAAGGTAATAATGTTGAAGGCAATGCAGAAGATGGAAGCCTGACTTGTGACGTTCCAGAGGGAAGTTTAAAGATTCTGTCAGGGCCATTTGTTATTCTGAATTAAGATTCTGTGGTTCTTGCCAGTCGGAGTTATCGCACGCCTATAGTCCCAGCACTCAGAAGGCAGAGAGAGGCAGATCTCTGTGAGTTTGAGGCCAGCCTGATCTACAAAGCAAGCTCCAGAACCAGGACTATACAAAGAAACCCTGTCTCAAAGAAAGAGGAGGGAGGAAGAGAAAAAATTCTGTGGTTCTGGTTCGCTGAGGCTGAAGAATCAGCTGTGATTAACAAGACACCAGAACGGCTAAAGTAAAACCTTTGCTCTGCTGGTCAGCCAGTGCTGCTCAGCAGTGCCGAGATATTAGAGATGACTGACTGAGGTGAAATCCGAAGTGTTCCGTGGGAGTCAATGCACAAGCTGTGTTACAGAGGCAGCCAAGGTTGTACCTCACACTGAGCCAAACTTGGTAGTGTAAAGTCATCCAAGTGGTACTGGTGTTGAAGGCACAAAAAGGTCATGAAGAACAGCTGAGGCTTGGCACCGTGAAAGGCCAGAAGGGGTGAAGGAACAGCCTCAGAGTCCGCTGAAGACCCAGGACTGAAGGGGTCATGCAGAAAAGCTGAGGCCTGGCACCATGAAGAGAGCTTAGCAGAAGCTATTAGAGAAAGTGCAGGCTAGTTGCAGCAGAAGACGCCAGCATTTTGGAGAAGCCAGTACCATGAAGACCACCAAGAACAGCAGCAGCAGTGGAGTAGAGCCAGCCAGAGCCTAGAAGACAGGTCGTGTGTACTATAGAGAGCAGACCCTGGAAAGTGACCCAAGCCCTTTAGAGGAGCCCACAAGGCTGTGAGCGAATCACAGATACTGCTCACTGAGTCATTTACACTCTTGGAGACTGGTTCAGATAGTGACTGTGCACTGGTTTTTCCCTCTTCAAGAATGGACTTAGGCCGGGCGATGGTGGCGCACGCCTTTAATCCCAGCACTCGGGAGGCAGAGGCAGGCGGATCTCTGTGAGTTCGAGACCAGCCTGGTCTACAAGAGCTAGTTCCAGGACAGGCTCCAAAGCCACAGAGAAACCCTGACTTGAAAAACCAAAAAAAAAAAAAAAAAAGAATGGACTTTATTTTTTTTTATTTTACAAGAGCCCACAGTTGAGAGACTAAACTTTTTTTCTTAAAAAAAAAGAGAGAGAGAGAGACAGAGAGAGAGAGAGACCTCAGGTATTTACAGAGAATTTGGATTTTAATGTATAATCTTGGGATGAATAAGAAAGAAAGGTTGTGGCTTAACAGTAATGTGTTTGTGTGTCATGCTGTCAAGGCATCACTTGTGCCGGGCAGTCTTACGTAAACTTGACACAAGCTAGAGTTGTCTGAACGGAGAGAGCCTCAACTGAGAAAAAGCTTCCATTAGATCCAGCTGTAGGGCATTGCCTTAATTAGTGATTGATGGAGGAGTGTGGCGGACCTCTCGACCGGCGAGAAAGAATAACCACCACATCAGGATTCTACTCAGAACACGCTTTACTGGAGTGCCCTTGATTGATGGGGAGCAGGAAAGGAGGGGGCAGGAAACGAGGGGCAGGAAGGGAAGGGCAGGGAGAGCATGAAGCGAAGGGACAGGGAGCGAAGGGGCAGGGAGCTAAGGGGAGAGACAGCATGAAGCGAAGGGGTGAAGGGCTCTCAGGCAGCTGCTTAAATAGGGAATTGGCACACGGGTCGCCCTGTGATTGGCTGCCACCAACAGCTGACACCAGACCGCATCGGGATAGGCTCAAGGATCCTCATCCACCGCACATGCGGGAAGGGGGTGACATGCAGCTCTCAAAGGCATAGCCAAATATGGAGTTGTTTATTTCCAACAAGACAGGATGTCGGCGCCATCTTGTAATGGCGATCCTGTCCGGCTCACTACAGAGGAGGAGTCAACCTATTGTAGGTGGCACCATCCCTGGGCTGGTAGTCCTGGTTTCTGTAAGAAAGCAGGCTGGACAAGCCATGAGGAGCAAGCCAATAAGCAGCACCCCTCCATGACCTCTGCATCAGCTCCTGCCTCTGGGTCCCATCACTGCTTCATTTCCTGTCCTGACTTCCTCCACTGACAAACTATGATCTGTAAGTATAAACCAAATAAACCCTGTTATCCCCAGCTTGCTTTTGGTCATGGTCTTTCATTGTAGCAATAGAAACACTTACTAAAACAGGGTCCCAGCACCCAGAAGGAAAAGTGGACATGAACTCCCACCCCTAACCAAGAAGCTATGTGCAACTGACATCTACTTTCAAAGAAAAAAATTAGTTTACTTTTTTCATTAAAAAACAAAACAAACAAAAAAGCTAGCCAGGCAGTGGTGGCACACACTGGGGAGGCAGAGACAGGAGGATCTCTACAAGTTTGAGGCCAGCCTAGTCTACGAGAGTTCTGGAACAAGTTTTAAAGTTACAGAGGACCCTGTCTTGGGTGGGGAGAAGATCTAGACTCTGCCAGACAGTGGTGGTGCGCATCTTTAAACCCAGCACTTGGGAGGCAGAGGCAGGCAAATCCTGAGGCCAGCCTAGTCCAGTTCCAGGATAGCCAGGGCTACACAGAGAAATCCTGTCTTGAAAAAAAAAAAGTAATTTCCACTAGCTAACAAAGTATCTTTCATATCATTTTTATACCAGGACTAACTAAACAATATAAGAATCCACTTATCAATATGTGGATTTCAAATCAATACATAGAAAAGACATTTTATTTACTTTCCTTATAATGTCTGTCTAAAGTAGAAACAGTATTTTAAAATCCTAAGATTCTACTTTAAATACACACAATCTTTGTACTGTAGATCCTTACCTTATTGTGTACTGAGGACAGCATGTTTTATTCATGACAGGTTTATACAGATATTTCCCACTTCTAAAATTATAAAAACAGTTTGTTAGTTTCTTATATACTTTCACATGTACCAAAATAGATTAGAAAAACTCTAAGGGTAAAATCTAATCAATAGCATAAAAAACCAACTTTTCCTTTCCTAAACCTCAACAGATGCACCACATTCTCATCAGTACCTTCCACTCCTTCAGTGTCTCCATCTGCTACTATATCAGCACGAGAGACAGTGATAAACCTGTGTGTGACGAGGCTGGAGCATTGGCTCAGTGGCTATGGGCATGCACTGCTTTTCCTGGGGACCTGAGTTCAGTTCCCAGCACTCAAAACCCCATTCCTTCAGCTCCAGAAGCCCCAGTACTCATGTACATGGCACCATACAGGCACATATGCATACACATAATTTTAAAAACAATAAAATTCTTTTTAACATTAAAAAAATGCCCATGATGTTGTTGGACAGACGGACTTTCCTCACGGTCACACACATACGAGCTTAAAGTACCACTTAACAAGCCTCATTTATAGGCACTGTAGACCTATTGGTAGAACCACGGATTCATTTCTCAGGTCAGGAACCTGAGAGTCCGTTTAGACTAATATTACCTTATTGTATACTGAGGACATCATGTCTCAAACTCACCTCCACAACCTACCAGAAAGATTTCTACTTGTTAAATATATCTTACATTTGTCCTCTCCTTCCTGCCTCCAGGAGTGCCCTCTCAAATACCTCTTTGACTTATAAATGAACCTTTCTAAAACAATTTCCTCACATTGCTCTCATATAAAACCCCTGTAACGGGGATCCTTATGACATCATCTAAAACCATACATCTGACTTGCATCTTCATTTTGAGACTCATTAAATTTAATAGGTGTTAACATTTTAATTGGCATGCTCAATTTCCGCTTTAGAAAATACTGGCATTTAGTACTTAATGCTTCATGTTGCTTACATTTACATAAGAAACTTTCCTAAAAGTTACTTAGAAATAGTTATCCCGTCACCTTTAACACCAGTACTCAAGAAGCAGACCCAGACCTACATAAAGAGTTCCAGACCAGTCAGGGGTACATAGCAAAGACTATCTCAAAAAACAACAAAAACTACCAAGAAAACACAACGTATGAACAATTACAGAATCAATTGATCAACTGCATGTGTGTATATGTGTGTGAACGTGTATCTGTGTGCATGTGTGTGTCAATCTTGGGTCAGCGAGATAGCTTTGTGGACGAAGGCATTTGCTGCCTAGACTGAAGACCTACTCTGCTCCCCAGAGCCCACACAGAAGGAAAGATCAACCTCCCACAGCTTGTCCTCTGACCTCCATAGACACTGCAGCACACAGAAGCCAATACCCAAACACAAGTAAATGTTTTAAAAAAATGAATTTTTTTAAAAGGCAATCTAGGAAAGATGGCTCAGTAATAAAAGCCCTAGCTGTGTGAGCATAAGGTTGGAGTACAGATCCCCCAAACCAGGCAGCTATCTATAATACTTGGCTTGCAGGAAGCACAGACAGGGAATCCCTGGAACAAGGCTGGCTAGCCCAACTAGTCAAAATGGCACTAACTCTGGAGTTAAAGAGAGACCCTGCTACAGTATATAAGGTGATGAGCAATCAAGGGGAATGTCTCAGTCCAGCCTCTACACAGATACACCCATACAACACACAGAAACAGAAAACAATCAAAACTTAGGAAGAAGCCAGCAAAACAGGTCATCAGGTAAAGGCTCTTGCTGCCAACCACGCACAAGCTCACGAGCTTTTGCATATTCTCTCTCTCTCTCTCTCTCTCTCTCTCTCTCTCTCTCTCACACACACACACACACACACACACACATACACACAAAGTAATAAGATCTGTTGAAAACAATTTTTTAAATGAGTGCCAAGTACCATCAAAAAATTATATTAATTTTTGGTTTTGGTTTTATTTCTTTGAAACAGGGTCTCACCATGTAGCCCTGGCTGGCCTAGAGCTCACTACGTAGACCAGGCTAGTCGCAAACTTACAGATATTCACCTACCTCTGCTTCCCAGTGCTGGAATTACAGGCATGACATACCACACTCAGCAGAAAAATTAGTATTAATTTTGTAAGATGATAAAGGTATGGTAGATAAGTTAAAAGGAAAACCATTTCTCCTTACCTTAGCTTTACCAATATGCTTTCTACAATAATTAGCATGTAATTTGCTGTCAAATATTTTGCAGAGGACAGACAGCATAGAGAATTAGTGAAAGACTAGAACAATTCCAGTAACTGTCAAAGGTTACTAATAAGCACACAAGGTTGGTTATAATGTATTTGGCTTTATGCATCATTTTTACCTTTCCAAATAAATTTCTGAGAACAAAGTACACAAAAAATATATAATAAACATTTTCTTAAACTTTCTTACAACCTCAGGTATTCTGAAGGTGATTTCATTGTGCAGTTAAAAGACACAACTGAACAATAGCAAAAAGAATCTGTGCTAAAGAGCTTTACCTTCTCCATCCTCGGTCTATGAGATCCTGATAATCCTGTACTGTCAAAGAGTGTGCCCACATGCCTGAAAAAGTAAGTAACACGTTAATTCCAGAACTCTGCATTGTCCTATTGTCTTCTTTTTAAAATTCTAAGTGCTCAAAAAAAAAAAAAAAAAAAGGTAAATTAGGCCAGGTGTGCGCTAATGCACACCTTTAATTCCAGTACTCCAGAGGCAGAGGGATCTCTGTGCATTCCAAGCCAGCCAGGCCCTATGTAAAAAATTAATAAAAATGAAAGTGGCAAATTTAGACTAAAATTCTAAAACATTCATACTGGAATAATAAAGTTTATACGTACTTCATTCTGAACATAATACAGACAACACAAATGAAAATAAGATATATTATTCTAAGATAAGAGTAGTGACACAAACCTGTAATCCCAGAACTTAGTGAGTAAAGGCAGGTGGAGAAGAGAGAGACTAGCCTCAACTATATAATAAATTTGAAGAGAGTCTGGGTAACATAAGACCTTTTGTCCAAAAAAAGTCAAGTCAGGTGTAGTGGCACAATGTCTTTGACCCAGCACTCAAAGAGGCAGAGGCAGTGAGATCTCTCTGAGTTCAAGGCCAGCCTTGGTTACATGGTGATGACCTGGCTAGCCAGGGATACATAAGAGTAACCTTGTCTCAAAATAAACCAACAAAATCTTCTCGAACTAAAGAATCAAATACATCAAAAGTGATTCAAATCTAATTCAAGATTAATAAATAGTATCTATGACAAAAATCTAGATTTTCATTGGGATTGGACAATTATGACACAAACTTTCATTAATATCTCCAATGAGGAACACACTGGTCTCATCTATTTGAGAGTTGCCATTTGTTTTCTTTCTGTTACTGTGATAAATACCATGACCAAATGCAGTTTGGGGCAGAAAGGGTTTATTCACCTTACAGTTTAGAACACTCCTGAAGGGAGGTCTGGCAGGAACTGGAGGAAGGAAACCAGAGGCAGTACCTCAAGGCAGGAACCTACAGGCAGATAACTCGAGGTAGGAATCTGGAGGCAGGAACTGAAGCAGAGAGCATGGAAGAACTCTGCTTACTGGCTTGCTTTCCACAGCTTGCTTAGACTGCTTTCTTGTAAACCCTAGTACCACCTGCCCAGAAGTGGCATCAGCCACAGAGAGCTTGGCCCTCCTACATCAATCACTAATCAAGAAAATGCTACAACGCACTTGCCCACAGGCCAATCTGATGGAGGCATTTTCTCAGTTGAGGTTTCTTCTTCCCAGACGACTCTAGCATATGTCAAGCTGACAAAACTAACAACTCTACAAAACTAACAATTCTACAAAACTAACAATTCTAATCATTGATATGCATAATATGTACAGCACAGGCTTCAACAATAAAACTGTTGTGATATTTTATTTGTGCTGACAAATAAAACTTGCCTGGAGATAAGCGGGTGGACCTAGCCACTAGCTAACCATAGAGGTCTGGAGGTCTGTACAGACAGCAGACAGGAATGGCTGGGGGAGAGAGGAAATGATTAAGGCAGGGTGTAGACGTGATCACAACCCTTTCTGCTCTGAGTCAGAGAGGTAAGAAGTGACTGTGTCTGGTCCTTTACTTCTCTGTCTTTCAGCTTTATCCCAATATCTGACTCTGGGTTTTTATTATTAAGACTAATTAGGATCGCACTTCATCTGGCATCTAACTCTGGGGCACAAATTCATGAAAAAGCTGCTTGCCCGTGGCTTTGTAGCCACCAGTACAGACCAGAGCTGCACATGGCCAAAGTCATCGCCTAAGGACTAGTTTTCTTTCTTTCTCACTCTCTTTTTTTTTTCTTTTACCCCAAGCCCTGTGAATGAGTCTGATTTTTCTGTTGTAGCCTCTCTGAAGCAAACTCACAGGCATTTGAACTCCAAATACTGAAGTTGACAGGGTTAGCCCCTCACCACCGGCCAGCTCTGCCTTTAGGCACGTCCCACTGTATGTGCTCTTCCCCACGATCCCCTGTATGTCAGAGTTCAATAGTATTGTGAGGAAACCAGTTCTTCCTTGCTCCAGTTCCTGCCCCCAAGTTCCTGCCTCAAGGTACCTGCCTCCACTTCCTGCCCCCAAGTTCCTGCCTCAAGGTACCTGCCTCCACTTCCTGCCCCCAAGTTCCTGCCTCAAGGTACCTGCCTCCACTTCCTGCCCCCAAGTTCCTGCCTCGAGGCATCTGCCTCCACTTCCTGTCCTGACCTCCCTTCATGAGGGACTGTACACTGGAAGAAGAAATGAACCCTGTCCTCCCCAACCTGCATTTGGTCGCGGTGTTCATCACAGCAATAGAAGACAAACGAACAGCAACTTTCAAATGGTAGTCACTCGCTAATACCAACAAGCTAATCATCTGAAGCTCACAAGAATCCTCTGAGTTTGTGGCCACTCAGACCTGCAGTAGAATATCAGTCACCCAACAGAAGGGTGCCCTACAGTGAATATTAAAACCGAAACATTAAAAACTCATAGTTATTTCTCTACATGAAACGACTGTTCTTCCACAAATCTTTAAACACAAAACATTTATAGTGGGCAATTTTCTCTTATCCAATTCTCTGTCACTCAAAGGCACCCACTGTCACTATCTGATATACTTCTCTTTGGGCCTTATTCCTCCCAGCTGTCACTGGGAGGAATAGAACATCTGCATCCTGTTTATTTTATTTAACTCTATGCTGTAAGCATTTTTCCACTTAACGGTTCTTCACAATGGTACTTTTAATGATTGTGTAACTGTCTACTTAAGACCACAGCTCGCCTAATAAACACTTTTTTTGTTTGTTTTTCAAGACAGGGTTTTTCTGTGTGGCCCTGGCTGTCCTGGAACTTGCTTTGTAGACCAGGATGGCCTTAGATACACCTGCTTCTGCCTCCCAAGTGCTAGGACTAAAGGCAAGTGCCACCATGCCCGGCTACCTAACAAACACATTTAATGAAAATCTGTAAACCAGTACAATCATACTCGGCCAAATCACTAACAATCTTTGAAACTGCACAAACGTCTAACCTAAATTTATATTTTCACAGTTATCTTGTTTCCCACCTGTTGGATTTGTCAATGACACATCAGACAGTACGATGTTCAGTTAACAAACAAATCTTAAGATATCTGAATCCTAGCCAAGCGGTGGTGGCTCATGCCTTTAATCCCAGCACTTGAGAGGCAGATGCCAGCCTGGTCTACAGAGTGAGTTCCAGGACAGCCAGGGCTACACAGAGAAACCCTGTCTCGAAAAACGAAGGGAAGGAGGGAGAGGAAACAGGGAAGGAAGGAAACCTGAATCCTGACAGAACACAGAATACCGTGTGTTGATTTTGTTGTGGTCCTAGAGGTGGGTTGACAGAATGGCATGGTACGAACCCCAGATAAAAGAATACCAAGCAGATGGGGACAATCAGTCTAGAGACCCTGTTTTCTAGGATGTTCTCCCAGACACTCTTATTCAAGGTTGACAGTGCGCAGGTGTTCACGCACACGCCCCTCCACACCGGCAGCGGGGGTCCCCGGCTGTCCAGCACCCACCGCGGTCAGCTCTTAGGTGCCCCCAATCTCCTTCCTCCTTTCCCTCTCGCACAGACCAGCAGCTGTTGGTGGACTGCAGCTAGGGCGGGCGGAGCACCCCCGGGGTTCTTCCCGCTGCTCCACAGGCAGTGGGCGCCCAAGTTCCTCAAGCGTCACCACCCAGACCCCCCACCCCACCCCAAAGCCGCGGCTGCCGGCTTCCCACGCCCGCCGGCCCGGCTCGCTCACCGTTGGAGACACTGCACGCCACATTCTTGCAATAGCCGCACTGGAACACGGTCTGGCTCTCAAAATACTCTACGAGGCTGAAAGTAGGCGCGCTCCAGGAAGCCATCGCTACGGCCCCCGCCGGTTCAGCGCCACCCAGCCCGCCGCAGCCGCCGCCGTCGCCGCCTCCACCACCCCACAATGCAGCGCGCGCGCCTCCGAAGACCGCGCGAAGCCACTCGGGAGCTCGCGGGCCGGAAAGACCTGGCAACCTGCGTGACTGACGCCGCCCGCGCCATATTGACTGAGGGCAGCCTTCCGCTATTTCCGTTCCTCCTCTGTGAGGGGCGGCTATCAACGGTGAGGGTGAAGCGGGAAGACCCAGCCGGGAAGGAGGGGGCAGGCTGGGCAGAGACGAATGAGCCCGGGAAGCTGGAGTCGGGTGACCAACGGCCTTAACCCCCCGCCAGGGACCCGCCCGGACATGGCGAGGGCCTGTCGGGAGGCGGTTACGGCCACCCGGACGGCGGGACACTCACCACACGACGTCTTGCCCTCCCTGGACGCGCAGTAGCCGCAGTGGTAGCCGGCCTTCAGGCCCTTGTATTCCACCACCGAGGCCATGGCCGCCGCCGCGGGCTCGAGGGCCGGCCACGCCTCTCTGCGCCAGGCAGGGGCCAACCTCGGCGGGGCGTGGGGGCCCCCGACGGGAGGGCCGAGACCGCGGCGGGTGCCGGGTTCGGGACTCCCCGCCGGATGCCAGGAGGGGCCTCCGGACGCCGGCCTCCGTCGCAGGAGTGTGCCTCGGGGCCCCGTGTTCGTGCCCAGCCGTTTGATTGCTCAATCAACATTCCTGATCTCTTACGCTGAGTTACCGGCCGGCTTTACGGCTAGGGAAACTGAGGCTCCAGGCTGTGATTGACCCAGCCTCTTCCCGCAGGACTCCGGTTGGAAGTCAGTTACCCTCTCACGACGGCTGCGCCAGGCCGCCTGTAAGTCATGAGCCGCCGGAGTCTTTTCCAAACGAGCTGGCTTAAATGGTAGAAGTAGAAGAGGGCAACATCCCGGGCAGCGAGGGAGCTAATTGGCTAATGATGAAGTGCCACCTGTTTTTTAGAGGGAAGGTAGAAACCCAGGTGGTGGTTTATGCGCAAAATCTTTAAATATCACTGAGAAAGGGAGTCTAACTCTATAAAAAGCCAAACACTTATATAGGCTGAACTTATCCCATGGGTCTCCAATTTGCGACCAGTTTTAAAGAGCATGTTTTAGGGAATGAGAGCGTGATAACATCTGCCAAGGGAATGCGCCTGAGCCTTTCCCTCTGGATGCAACAGTTTTTTTAGTCCGTGGCACCGTAATTTCCATAGGCAACTATAACGTTAATAATACCTTTAGGCAACCATAACGTTAATAATACCTTTGTGCAGTGTCGAGAAAATAAAATCATGAAACATCTCTGAAAAATTGTTTGCGCCTGTCCTGTTTGCAAATAGCAGAGATATGTCCCCCCTTCATCCCATGGCAGAGGAGGCCAGAAGGCATTGGGCCCGCTGAAACCCTACTGGCGGACTGTCCTGAGCTACCATAAGTGCTGCTGGGAGCCAAGCCCTGCGCCTTCTGCCACTGAGCCCTATCTCTCCTGCCCGTGAATAAACTATTTTTAGACTGTTAATGGAGCTCAAGATGGCCTAAGATGGCCTAGAACCCTGGACACTCCTGCCCCAGGGACCACTGTGCAGGTGTGCACCCCTGCACCTGCAGTTAAATGTATATTAGATATATAAACAAGTAAATTTTAATATTTTTGACCTTAGGACCTAAGGTTGTTCGTGCTGGCGGTGTGTCTAGTTAAGGTTGAAAGTTCATGACCTGGTGACTTAAGGAAGGGGGGGTTATTTGTCCGAGGGGAGGGCCTGGGACATGACAAAGAACTGCCTCTGGATGGAGAGGAGACAAACATAGCCTATAGGAAAATGGTAGTTTATAATGGTAAAAGGGGAAATTAGGGTGAGGTGTTTAATTTTAATTGGACGCGTTAATTAGGTGAGCCAAGACAGGACTTTTAAATAGTGGACTTCAATACTTTTGACAGCTGGATCTGAGCAGTCAGCCTCAAGAGGAGGGGGTGGGCAAACAGGGAATAGACGGCAGGGAGTAGTTTTAGGAGTGTGATCTAACAGTTTTTAGCAAGGCAGATGGAGCCAGGGAGAAGGGCAAGGCCTGCCAAAGCCATGTTTGCCAAGCTCGAGCTGGTAGAGTCCCTTCAACTACTGTCATCTACAGTTCCCAATACCTACTGGGAGTCTTGAGTTAATGAAAATATAGATATAACAGCAGATAAGAGGAAACTACTAAACTCTTCTGTCACTTCGCCTCAGCCTTAGCCAGTGTGCTCTAGAATATTCCAACCTTGAGCAATAATAATGAGAATGTCCAAAATCCTGGGCGTGTATGTTAATTCACCTTGATTACAGCAATATCACCAGATGAATGACAGCAGCCAGAGAGGCTGAATAACTCGCTGAATGTATACAACTAGTAAGGGGCACACAAGAGGGGTAACAGTAATGAAAAGAAACCAGTAAGCCCCATATAGAGTGAATGCCTTTAATCTTAGCAGTGAGGAGACAGAGGCAGGATGGATTGTTTTGAATTTGAGGCCTGATCTACATAAGGAATTCCAGCCAGTCAGGGTTACACAATGAGATGCTATCAAGAAAAACAAAACAAAACAAAAAAAAGCAAAAAAAAAAAAAACCCAATAGGTCCTAAGGTAGACCTGTGTGAATCAGTGGTTTCTGGATGGCTATATTTTGCTAAAAAGCCAAAGGCAGTTTCGTTGTTGTTTTCTATTCTAGGCCCAAATGAGGGGAGGGAAAAGCAAAGCTCAATTTGTTCCCTCTATTAAAGGAGTAAGGAAGAGTTGTCTTTGCTTTTAACTTTCTTTCTTGACAGGACACAGCAGTCAAGTTGCGCCTCTCAGTTTCAGTAGCTCAGCACACAGGTGTGGCATCTGGTCTGTGAAGCGCTGCGCAGATACAGTGAAGGATTTTTGCATGGTAGTAGCAGGCCCACAGTGCAATTAAAGGGACATAAGTGAAGCATTCTCCTTGACCCCTAGATGATTCTGTGAGTAGAAGCGACCTAAGGGAAGCCAGAGACAGAAACAGCTAACTTGAGGGTGGAGAAGGAAAGCATTCTCCAGGGGAAGTGGACTCAACAAGGTGGGAAAGGGAAGAGGGCTGGTAGCAGTAGACTCCTGGAAGACGCTTTCCTCGGTGCACCACTCGCAGGAGACCTAGACTGAACTCCATCTTGTCAAGACCTGGCTCTTCAGGCTGGCATGTACTAACTAGCTACATGAGGCTACTGACCACCTAAAATAGAGCTTATATCACTGAGGAACAAAATTTTTAGTTTTATTTAAACCTGAATTTTCCAAAGAGAGTTATCAAATACCAAGCAGGGAAATGCCAAACAAAAAGCTACACATAGGGTTGGTGAGATGACTCAGAAGGGGCAGGCATTTACTGCAAAGTCTCATCTTCCACAGATCCATCCCTGGACACACATGGTAGAAGGAGAGAACTGACTCCCACTAGTAATCCCCTGGTCTCCACACTTGCACAGTGGTTAAAAAAAATGTACCCTCTTGTGTACACAAGCACACATAAAATATTTGTTTTCAAAGCAACCCAGAGGTTTTTCATACTCAAACTGCAGAAAATCCCTGAAAATAATGGAATAATACAGAGAGAAAGTGAAAAAAGAAAACTATATCCTATATATCTAAATTCTCTTCAAAAACCATGGAAACAAGAATGACATATTCTAAGTATTCTAAGAAAAACAAAACCTAGAATTCTGTCCAGAGAATTTACCCTTCAAAACTGGAAGAAAAATCGAGACTTTCCCATAAAGAAGTGTGTTTCTAGTCTGCCTGTTTTGCATCAAATGTAAATTCTTCAGGAAAAGGAAAACAAGTAATTCAGATGTTCTAAAGAAAGAAAAAACCCTAGACAAAGAAAAATGGATGTAAAATAATTTGTTTTTAAATCTTAATTGCTCAGACACAATGGCTGATTTGAAATAATAGCAACTTGTATTCAGTAATTATAGTTTATGGATAAGTAATCTGATAATTACAGCTTTGGAAATGAATGGCAGTAGGGTTATGGGGATGAGAGACAGGAACTGCAGATTCTCCATCATGAGGTACTGTATAACCTGCAAAGTAGTATATTGAATTGGAAAGAGAACTTGTATTAATTGTAGACATATACTATAAATTCAAGGGTAACTATTTAAAAAAATAAGTGTAGTCGATATGCTAAGAAGAAAATGAAATTATTAAGTAATAAAATAAAACTTAAAAATGCAGGAAAAGAAAGATGATAAACATATATTTCTATGGTGGCTTATGCCTTTAATCCCAGTAGTCAGGAAGTCCAGACATTGTTTGTGAGCTCAAGGCCTGCCTGACCCACACTGAGAGGTCAAAGCCTGTCAGTGCTACATAAGAAAAAAACTAGCTTTAAAAAAATAAAAAAGCTTATAGAAAACAAATAAATATGACACCAATCCAACCAATAATTACTTTAGATGTCAGTGACCTCAGTACACCAATTGAAAAAATAAACTGTCCCTGAGCAGACACAGCTTCATGACAGTTCTTATCTAGGGTACAAGAGGCTCTAAATTCGATTCTGGATATACTACTCACCCCCGCCAAAAATAAACCCAGTACTGGGTGTGATACATACGAGGAATCCCATCCGTTGGAAAGTGGAAGCAGGAGGAAATCAAGCTAAGAGGCCTGTCTGGTCTACATAGTGAGACCTTGTCAAAATAATAACAAATGTTCTCCACAGGTGACTCACTCCGAACAAAAATAGGTGGATAGAAACGATGAGTAAAAACATCTTGCTCTGAGAAACTTTAAACCAAATCAGTTTCATAGACCAAGCTCAATAGTAATACAAATTAGGGATAAAGAGAAATATTACAGAATGATAAAATAACCAATTCTTCAAGAAGGCATAACAGTCTTAAACGTGTGTGCACACAACAAAGGAATGCCCAAGTACATGAAGTATATACTGACAGAACTGCAAGGAGAAACACGTGAATCCACTTTTCTGTGGGAGATGTATTTGCCTCTCAGTGGCTGACAGATCCAGAAGAGAATAGGTAGAAGAAAATCAGTAAAGATGTACTCGGATTGAATGTTATAATCAATCAATTGGACTTAATTGACACCTATAAATTATCCGTCCAATGAGAGCAGAGTGAATACATTGTTCTCAAGGTTTCATAGCTGGTCAGTTATGAGTATAAATTAAATACTGTGAGCCAGGGGGTGGTGGTGCACACCTTTAGTGCCAACACGGGGGAGGCAGAGGCAGGCGGATCTCTGTGAGTTCAGGGCCAGCCTGGTCTACAAGAGCTAGTTCCAGGACAGGCACCAAAGCTACAGAGAAACCCTATCTTTAAAAAACCAAAAAATAAAACTAAAACAAAAAAAAAACTCTATCAAACTATCAAAGCAGTATTTAGCTGAGTAATATAACTGCTAAAGAGACCACATGACTGCACAATCAGCGTACATATCTAGCCTTCAACAGCACAGATAGGTATGATCCATTCACATGGAGTGTGTACGGTTTATGTTCTAAAGCACAAAAAGTGAAAAGATGCCTTCAGTGCTATTAGAGACTGGTTTTGACCACATATTCTGTAGTTGAGTCCCTGTCTTAAGGAATGGTTCCTTCTGGTTGCTGACCAGCTCACCCAAAGGATGGTCCATTTCCTGCCTACAGACTATACTGTCATACACCACCTCATAGTGGGCTCCTTCTGGGTTAGTGATGACACAGAAACCTGTGATTGCTTTGCGTTGCCTTAGAAATCAACCCAAGGCATCCTCCATGATCAACAGGGGGCAGCTGAAAATCTGAACTGAGGGCAGAAAGTCAGTGGCTAGAAAGCAGTTCTTTGTAGACTAGAGAATGAGAAATTAAGAGCTCGGGGGACAAGAGGGTAAGAGGCGAGGTGGAGAGCAAAGATGCTGT